TCCAAGCACACAGAAAAATGACCCTGGGAGTATATAGCCTTCAGCTCCTTGGACCCAGAGCTGACTAGGAAAATTGGCAGGTTTATCGCCTTGGCGGTTGTCACCCATCTATAAATTGGACCCATTTCTAGCCAGAAAGTTTGAACTCTTACCTTTTCTACTATGGTGAGCTGCTTGGCTATTTTTGCAAGCTAACAAAGCTACTTGATCCCCTATATCTCTTCTCAAGTCTTTACACACCCGAGTTCTCTTTATGGTTAACTGTCTCAGGGTGGAGAGAGGAAGGACCCTGTCCAGAGCCCACATGGGGGAAGGACCAGAGGAGGCCCATGGGATGTGGATGGCGTTGAAGGATGAGGCCTTGCATTTGGATGGGGTACATCTGAGCTGGGCGAGGAGAGATGGGGGAGTGCCCCCCTGGAGCTCAGGAGCTGTCCCAGAGTAGCTTGACTTCTTAGGAGACCACAGACGGCAACCTCAGAGTACAGCCTGATGTAATTTTTTGTGACCATGATTAAAAAATTGGGATAAAAACCATTCAAGAGAGTTTATATGCAGATCTGCTTTGGTTGCCCATATGTCTCCTAAAAATCTGCGGATTTGGAACACTGGGCCTTCGTTGCAAAGACCTGCAGATTTCCTGGTTGTAGGCAGCAGAGCACACATTCTGGAGGTCACACATTATATTCCTGATTAGCTTCAGTCATTTCTGTTACTTGGAAGCACCAAAGCTATTTGAGTCGGCCAGTCCTGGATTGGAAGCTGCAGAGTACTTAAGTAGAATCTGATCCTTGAAGGGGAGACATTCAGAAGCCCTGGCTGAGGGGAATAGCTAAATATATAGTGAAAGAAGCAGCGTTTAGTGTATGCCAGGCCTTGAGCTCAGCATTTTACAGGGCTTAACTCCTTCAGTCCTCATAAGCCCATTTTACAGATGAGAAAACTGAGGTAGAAAGAGGTTAAGTACAGGTTATCCTGTACTTTGGTTGCATTTTATTCCATGTATGCGTTTGCTCAAGAGCATTCATAATTGAAAGCAAATCCTTACAAAGACTGACTGGTATTTCTGTCTAGCAATGAGAGGGGTCTCGCATTTGGCAGTGGACCAAAATACGGGCTTGAAGGTCACTCAGCCAGGCAGCTTTGAAGTTATGCTATTCTTGACACCTTTTTTACAGTGGATTCACATTGATTGCAAATTTTATGAATAAAATGAGTTGATTAATATTTTGATGTACTAAATTCAATTTTATGTAAAAGGCCACTTTATAACTTGTTTAAGACCAAGTCATACTAGTGAGTCTGACTCCAAAGTCATGAGCGATGTGAAGTATGTTTCTCTAAAAATCTAGGTCATTCCTAAGGAAGTGGTTAGTCTAATCGGAGGCTGGATGAGGCAAACATATCACCTTTCCACCTATGGGTCTAAAATGATCGTCACTGCTGAGTAGACAATGTGTGTCCCTGCCTGAATGTGGCCACCCAGATGTCTAGAACACCTGTCTCTGGTCTAGAGCCAGCCTGGGAGGGTTTCACCCCTCCGCTCATTTCCTTCTGCTACAGAGCTCTGGAAAGGCTTCCAGGGGTGGTGGTGGTGGGTTGTTGTGGGGCACAGCGGGGTCGGAGGAAGAAATGATGAATGCATAAGGGGACACGGGATTCATTTGCACATCCAAGAATGCAGATCTACGGCTGTATTGTATGAACTACTGTGGGCCACGCTAACATTTCACTAAAGTTCTGTAAATTTCAGGTATCAATCTAGTCAGCAAGTTTTGGCAAATAAAAAGTCTGCCATTAATGAGTCGTTGTCCTGGTCAGTGCCAGTGTTACTGCTTGGCATGTTGGTCCCGCGATAATTCAAGTGCTCTGGCCCCGTTTTTACTATTCCAAAGCGTTCTCTGCCTTTATACGTTATAAATCCCTTCCCAGCCTCGATGAGGCTTAGATCGCCCTGCAGTTGAACCGATCTGTTTCCGGGGTTTGTTTCTGTCCCGTGCACAAGTTGGCCCAGAATTGCATGCCCAGTTGTTGAACGGAGCCTTGCTTCTCAGGACATCCTTACCTCCTGGTTCTAGACTGTATCAGAGACCAACTTATAGCTGGGAGCATGACCAAGCCAAGACCTATCACCTGTGGCTCATGTCCAGAAAACACTGATAAAACTGGCCTGTGTCGTTTGGACAGGCCCACTGAGGCCCCCAATAATTTCCTTCCATTGTTTCAGACTTGATGCTATGGTTTCAGAAAGCAGGGGAGAGGGCGAAGATTTGCTCTGGCCAGAAAAATTCCCTCTGCTCCCCTTCCCTAAGCAATTAGATTCTCTGCTGACACTTAGGGGTTTTGTCCTAATAAGTCCCTGGGAGGGTCTAGCTCTTTTTCTGTGTGTGTGTCTGTGTTTTACAGATGCAAGTATTTGTAAAGGAGGTACTTTTGTGAGTTTTTATCTCTTTTCTCAGTATTTACTGGAGACTGCATTCTGAGGTAGAGAGGTGTTTCATAACACCCTGAAGAACCCTGATGCTCCTTCTAGAGTTGCTGCTTAGCTGGAGTCTCAGACCTTCAGAGGCCCTCCAGCCTGTGCCCCTCCTTCTAGAAAAGAAACTAAGCCCGGGATCACATAATTAGTTGCTGAGTGAACCAGATGGCAGGCATCCAGACCACTGACCTTTTCCATAGAGTAGGGCTGTTTAAGAATATAAGATTATATAGCATTGACGGAATGCTGCTTCTTTTCAGGACTTCACAGTGGGGAGAGGCTGAGATGGTAGGGAATCTCGCCTATAATTGTTTGTGGCTTAAGTGACTTTCATTATTGGCTCAGTGGTGGCTCTTATAATCCTAATAGCTGCTTCCAGGGATGAGTAATTCCCTAGTCATTATAGGTGACTTCATTTATCTCTTCTTCCCAGCCAGGCCCATCATTTCTGCCTGTTACCGATCAGCTCTCTCCAAGCCATTCTTTGCTTGATGGTACCATCATTTGTTAAATCTTGATTGCAGTGGCCTCAGAATTCCACTTTCTGGATGAGGTTCAGGCCAACAGCCTCACGTCAGCTCCAAGATATGACATTGCATCAACATTGTAGATGGTCAAAGGCAGGATACGGGGATCGATAGGCGCCTGAGGGATAGGGTGATTTCAGTGTTAAGATCATTGTAAAGCCAAGTCACTGTTGAGCCTTACTCTTCTAGTATGCAGCATGTGTGATGCCTTTAAAGCGACACTCTTTGTTCATGTTATCATGCTACGGCTCACGGTGACTTGGCAGCCACAGCATGGAAGCTGATTCATTGAGCCGCTCGTGCATTAATTTGGACCTCTACCTGACTGATCATTTTACCGGTAAAACAGCCCTGCCCTTTATGAGGGACAATACCAACTGATCAGTACGTGTATTTTGAGGATAGGCTTTTAAAATGACGGAAATCTTGGGGCAGCTGGGTGGCTCAGTCAGTTACGTGTCTGCTTTTCGCTCAGGTCATGATCTCAGGGCGTGGGATCGAGCCCTGTTTTGGGCTTTCTGCTCAGCAGGGGCATCTGCTTCTCCCTTTCTCACTGCTCATGCTCTCTTTCATGCTCTCTGTGTCTCAACTAAATAAATAAAATCTTAGAAAAAATTAAAAAATAACAGAAATCTTGGGGCACCTGGGTGCCTCAGTTGGTTAAGCATCTGACTCTTGATTTTGGTTCAGGTCTTGATCTCAGGGTCATGGGATCGAGCCCCATGTTGGGCTCCATGCTCAGCAGGGAGCCTGCTTGAGATTCTCTCTCTTTTCTTCCTCTGCTCCTTCCCCCTACTTGTGCTCTCTCTCTAAAATAAATAAATCCTTAAAATAAGATGACAGAAACCTCTGTTGATCTAGGTAGAATGTAAACTTACTCTGTAGAGGACAGAGCCATTTGCTAATTTATTTACTTAATCACATTTTAAACAGACACCTTCCATGTGGCAGGCACTGTGTTAGGCACTAAGAAGGCATCAGCCAATAAAATAGGAAAAATATCCCTGTCCTCATCTTATGTTGCCAGTTCCAGTATCTTCCCTGCATATGTCTCATCCCTATGAAAATATTTTAGGAATAAAGGCAGTATCCTGTGAAGAGAAATAGCTTTTGCACTTTGCCCATTGTTTCTACTCCTTGCTGTAATCTTCCCATGGAACAATTAGAGGTTTGGTACCTGCATAATAGTAATTCTCTAATAGTAATTTTTAGTAGGATTTGTTGGTATGGCTTTCTACTTTATTCCTCTGCCTGGCTGATACAGGTAGTGCCTGGGCAAAGGAAGAGAAGAACTTCGGGTTCTTGCCTGATGTGATAGTTATCAGTAGGCAAGAAGACAAGCATTGAGAAACATACTCCGATGTTTCTGTGGCTTCATCTATGAATTGGACCTGATTACGCTGCCTGTGGTAACAAATTGTGGCACAGCTTCCTTCCTTTCGACTGACCCTTCCCTCTTCTTTCTGTCCTAATCATTTTATTGAGCAAGCCTGATCTTTTCCTTTGTTGTGATTGGTTCCTGTTTCTTTGTCAATGCAAGGATCTTTAGCCATTATTCTAAGACAGCGGGTGATTTGGTGAGATTTGGTGATTCAGGAGCACTTCTTATAAGGCATAATCCCTAAACTCCATTATCTACTGCATCTGATTTTGTGGGTCTAGGATGGGAGCCCAGAACCTGCTTTTTCAAAGAGGAGGATTAGAGAAAAGAAGGGCATCCTCATGATGCTATAGCTGGGTTACTGTCTAAAATATTCTAGGACTGGGGGAATATTGCTGAACCGCTTTCCACGTGGGCTGAGCCATAAGGTATGACTTGGCTGTTAATCTTACATGACGAAGGATCTCGATTTATGTACTGTCCATGCAGTTAAGGAGCCCACGGCTGCCTGTAATGTCACATAGCGCCCAAAGAGACTGCATTACTCTGCTGTTCCCCAGTGGGAGAAGGTGTCTCAGCTTTGTTAACCGGCTTTCTTGGGATGTCTCCACAGGCAATGGTGGCTTGCTATCCAGGAAATGGGACGGGTTATGTTCGCCATGTGGACAACCCCAACGGCGATGGCCGCTGTATCACCTGCATCTACTATCTGAACAAGAATTGGGACGCCAAGGTACAGTGGAATAAAGGGAGTAGAGCGCGGGGCTAGAGAACTCTAGGGAAAGAATTCAGGTGACTTAGAGGAGTTCATGATTCCCACGGATGACTCTTTTCTACTTCACCATTTCCTTTTTTTTTAACCATTTCCATTTTGTCTCCTACTGTGGTGTTAGTACTTAAATTGACCAGATGAAAATAATGGATATGACGTTAATTGGGAGGGGGGGGCAGTAGGAGAGGGTCATTACAAGGTTATGGGAAGGGTGATTGATAGGAAGAAGGTAATTCACTATTTCAGGAATGGGGAGTCAATTTTTTTTTTTTTTCTGCCTAAACCAGAGCTGATAGGACTTTCAGTGCACAATAGGATACATACTTTTTCCTTCCAGCAGCAACATTGACAGAGTCCATAAAAATAGAACTAACTGTAGGATATAAAACCGGCCCCAAGTGAGGGTTCCCACACAGCCTGGGTGACCCGTCTCATTGGTGGCCGCTTGCCATGGCTCACCATGGTTTGTGAATGTCAGAGGCATTCTGGCTTATTTTTATATTTTTGAACATATAGATATATAGAGATATGAAGTCTGGTTCCATGCTTACGGACATTTGTCTGGAATTTGTATGCTTTCCGAAACTTAAGGATGATTTAGGAGTCTGAGAAGTCAGAGAACTTTTCAAGCTCATTTGGCTTTTGAACCTTCTGCATCTCCATTTCCTGTTCATTGGGGCAGATACTGGTCATCCTGAAGCACAAGGATATTTTATCTGGGGTCAGGGAAACAAAACCTGGGAAACCAGTGAGTCAGATGTCTCGTCCCCTCTTTGGTAACATGACAGGAATACATCCCTTAGTTGTCTTTTAAAATCTTTTAAAAGGTAGTGTTATAGGCAAGAGAGTAAAGTTACCATGTCAGTGATAAAAAATCATGAAGTATGAAATCATGCAACAAATACATGAGTGCCTGTTAATGCCAGGCCTTGTGCTATGCAGAAATATTGATGTGTGGGGCCTGGATTCTATCTTGATATGGTCATCCCAGCAGGCGGTTCAGGTGTACGTATTTTTAAGAAGAAATCCAAGGAAGAGAGTGATGCATGTCCTAAAAAGTGTAGATAAGGTAGTCGGAGTTCAGAAAAAAGAACATGGACCTTCCAGCTGCTGAGATAACATAGGAGCTGGAGCAGTTCAAAAGAAAGCTGTAAATTCTAATTGAAGGGGATGTTATGTGTGATGACTGTCCTAGGACATTCTTAATATTAGATGGAACCCTATGAAATTTCCGGTGGGTTTTTGTAGGTCAAAAACATTCAGATGTTGATAGTTTTGTGTGATTGGACCTAATAGCACTCCATTTTGTGTCCAGGGGTTTCATGACTGGGGGTAGGAAGGCTTCATTCCATGTGAGGTCGATAAGGAGAGATGACTAGCTAAGTTGGAAATAAAATGAAGTATAAGGTGTAAGGCTGTTGAGAATTTTGGGAGTAATGCACATCCGGACTGGAGGTTGGAAGATGGCATTGTCTCCAGATGAGGCTGAAATACTGTTGGTAGTTAATTATGTGTGAGGCTAGGAAATAATCCATCTTCTTTGTGGCCCTCAGCTACACGGGGGGGTCTTGCGGATATTTCCGGAAGGGAAGTCATTCATAGCGGATGTGGAGCCCATTTTTGACAGACTCTTGTTCTTCTGGTCGGACCGCCGGAACCCGCATGAAGTCCAGCCTTCTTACGCGACCAGGTAATAGCCAGAGCCATGATGCCTCCTGAGAAACTTCTGTACAAAACCCAGTTCCCAGAGAAGTCCCTAAACTCATGTCCCATGCATACGAAGGACCAACCGCTCTCCAAGGCTGATAGCTAACCTGTTTGGAGGCTATCACAGTTGAAGGGGAAACTAGATTCCTTAGGTCAGCTGGAACTATTAACATATTGTTTTCTGTAATGTCAGCTGGAACTAATAACAGATTATTTTCCATTAGGTGAGCATGGTGTATTCCCGATTTCCCACAGTGCTTTTCCCTTTCTCCTTTGCCACTCCTCCCTTAAACCCGCCTAACTTTGAAGTAGTCCTAGAGAGTTTTGGTCATCACATACCAGGAATTCTGATGGTTAACTCTGGATGAATTTATAAGTTGCCTATTGCAAATAGAGAGAGAATCTTGAGAAAAGAGAGAGGAATTTGTTCTGACTTCTTTCTCTTTTTACCCTTTCCTTCCCTTCAAGTTGGTTTGGGCCCACTGTACCCATCATGTCCCAGTAATGGGATATTTAAAAGCCCCTTCTTTAGTTGAAGCATGAGAAGATTTTCAGGGGAACATGACAAACTTGTTTAGTATTAGTCTAGAAACTGTTGATGTCATCTTACTTTCAGAATATACCTTTCATTATCTTTGTTTTATGGCCCGAGCTGTAAACCAGGCAGTGGCAGTGTGCTGTGGGGATGCAGCCCGAACTGGGAATTGCAGTTGGGGGCAGGAGGAGACAACTATGGTAAAATAATGACTGAACCTTAACAAGCCTAACTAAATTAGAATCGCATTTAAGATTTATAGGTGCCCCCCCCCCCAGGAATCCCAGATCTGAGCCCCACACAGAGTTGCATATTAAATGTCAAATTGGAATGCGCCCTAGGTGAGCAGGTAGCTGATTCTCCCCTCCCAGAGCCTGGTTGTGGCTTGTTTAATAGGGTATGATAATTGGGCCCTGTCATTTGTGCCAGCATTCCCTCGGTATTCCCCAATCTCTTGATCATCCAAGTCACAGGAGAAACATTAGCAGATGTTGATGAGCCCTTGAAAAAAAAAAAAAAAAACAAGGGCTATAGGAATTCCAGTAGCTAATAATAATTAGAAAATGAAACTTTCTGAAAACTCATGCATGAAATGATTCCTATTACAGTCTATCCCATAGATGGGATAAAGCAAATTAGTGGAAACACAATAGAAAGCTTGAGGGCATCATTATTCTGTTGCATCCTTGCCTCAGTATCCAAAACCAAAGAAAGCAGGTCAAAAGAGTTTTAAGTGTCCTGTTGTTTAAATAAGTTGCTCTTCAAAGCTTTACGCATCTGTCACCTCCTCTTCTCTGTGTTCCCCCCCCACCCCCAACAGCTTGGGTCTCTCAAGTCTTGAGCAGAATGACTCCCTTTGGGGTGCTTGGGTAGCTCAGTTGTTAAGCGCCTGCCTTTGGCTCGGGTTCAGATCATGGACCCAGGGTCCTGGGATGGAGCCCTACATCGGGCTTCCTGCACGGCAGGAAGCCTGCTTTTCCCTCTCCCACTGCTTGCTTGTGTGCTCTCTCTCTTGCTGTGTCTCTCTCTGTCAAATAAATAAATAATCTTAAAAAAAAAAAAAAGGCTCCCTTCTTGTCCTTTCTGTGTAGATCATCTTGACCTGTTACATTATTCGTTGAATTGTTTGTCTCCCCTATGAGAGCCTGAGCTCCTTGAGAAAGAGGCAGATTTATTCACAAAGATCATTTGAATTCCCATTGCTCAGGATAATGCTTGCTTCATACTTGGAATTCCTTACGTGTTTTTTTACATTAAAATAGAATTGAAACCAGAGAAGTTTATTTTAAATTAAAATTGGGATGAACTTCTAATAATAGGGAGAACTTTAAATGTTCGCTTTATGAATGACTCTGATGTGATATTTATAAGTATTTTTTATTTTTTTGGTAGTATTTCTAAACTTCTTTTCTTATATTTGCTTATCTTTCACAGATATGCTATGACTGTTTGGTACTTTGATGCTGAAGAAAGGGCAGAAGCCAAAAAGAAATTCAGGAATTTAACGAGTAGGTGTTTGAAATTTTTCTGTGACTTTTAATGGGGTCAGTCTGTGACTTTTATTTAACATTTGTCTATGTATTCTAATAAATACTTGACCCTTGAACAATGAGCGTTGGGATTAGGGGTGCTGACCCTCTTTCCGATAATCTTCATATACCTTTGGACTCCAACACTTCCTGTTGACAGGAAACCTTAAATATGAACAGTTCAATCAGCACATATTTTGTATGTTCTATGTGTTATATGCTGTATTATAATAAAATAAGCTAGTGAAAAGAATGCTGTTAAGAAAATCATTAGGAAGAGAAAATACACTACTACGCTGTATTTATCGAAAAATATATGTGTAGAAGTGGACCCATACAGTTCATACCCATATTGTTCAAGGGTTAGCTGTATTCTGTTTGGTCTTGACTGGGGCTTAGCTTCATATGTAATGACATCTTGGTGGGCTAAATCCCGAAACCCTGGCCTTAGCTGTGCTGGAAAAATCAGAAAAAAATGCAAAGGACCTCCCCTATGAATGTCCACTGATTGCGTGACAGTAAATAGTTAACTTTCTCTCATTAATGTTCACCCATCAAACATAACATTCAGTTTGGCTCATGATTTTGGCACATTGCATAGGGGATACAATGGAGCCCAGCTAGAATGGTTAATGTATTATATTGGTGTGGGACTGTTGACTGTGTCTACAAACACTCACGTAATACAAACTGAATATGTCCTTTCCGGTGTTAACACCATTCCTGTCCTGCCTCTAGCTGTAAGGCAGCATTTCCCAAAATATGTCGTACTGAAACATCCCACTAGTGATCTCGCCATGTTGGTTTGTGAAGGGAAAACTTCTGGCCCCCTAAACGTGGGAAATGTTACATGCTGTGTCCTTCTCTCGAAGACTTACAGTGGTCATTGGCATATTAATCAAGAGAAGTTAATCTGAGATTGAAATAAAGATATGTGCAGCATTGCCTGTTACCCATTTGGTACCAAAGAAAACACATTGTGCTAAGTCCTATGGGGGTGGGCATCATGCTCAGCTTTGGATTATAAAATGGGAGGTGTTCACTGGAGGCTTTTTTGATGCCATTTGTGGCCTTAAACTCATCAGATCTGGCTCCTTACCCTCTTCATTTTCTCTTCTGTCCCCAACTCAGGGAAAACTGAATCTGCCCTCACTGAGGACTGACTGTGCTCTGAAATCCGCTGGCCTCATTCATTTTGGTAATGGTTCCTGAGGTCTCTTGAAGAGTTGAGATCCAAAGAAGGCCTCTTCCGTGACTCGGTGACAAGAAGCCCCCCTACTGCTTGCGTCATTCACATCCCTGTCTTATGTATGGTACTTTGTGTTTTCTTGCCAAGACTGCATCCACCTTCAGACACTCTCTTTGTCAGATGAACTCATTTGCTAACTCCAGAAATACCTGCAGACGACCTAGCTGGCCAGCGGTTGAACTGATAGATTTCATAATACTGGCTACCAACACAAGATCCTGGAAGCATGGGCAAGGGAATGACTCTTACTTGCACTTTATGTACACTTCCTGGTTTGAAAGGAGAAGGTTTGCAAAGAAAAACAAAATGGCGACAGATGCCGAGAGGCATTCATGAAGCCTTAACAGCAGGAAACAGAAATTTGTGTCATCTGAACAGTTTCCAGATATTCTTAATCCCGGGCTTTTTTGGGGGGTTTCTGGAGAATTATCACAACCTAATGACATTATTACCTCTAGAAAGGGCTGCTGTCATTGTCATCAATTTAGAAGTATCCTGTGGGTGGACACTCTCTTTTTCCTGGTCCTGTAACCTGGATTTGCTGCCTGTGCCCCATTTTGCTGAAAACAGAGTTTTCTGGTCAAAGGTGATCTACCATGTATTTTTTATTTTCATTTGTTAGTTGAGAACCTAATTCCCCAAAGGCAAAAACTAGACCTTAATTGTTTGGGTTACTTTGTTGAAATGGAATTTGAATTTCAAGCAAAGGGGAAAAGAACCCACTTGGTAGGTAGTTCAGAGGCAACAGCCTCTGGGAGCTGGTATCAAAAGATGTGGGTCTGCTAATACACTGTAAACCTGTGTGCATCTTGGATTGTCTGAGAATGGCAGAAGGGTTGGAAATGTAGGCGCTCCCGCATTTCAGTTTTCCCTTTTAATGAGCTCACCCTTCTTGTTTAACAGAATGAGAAAATAAGAAAAAATGGGGTGTTGTGTTTTAAAAAGGAAAATGAAAAAAGAAAAAAAAAATCCCAGAAGACTATTTTCTGTCCCTAGTAGCCTTTCTTTAACAGAATTGACTCTCAGATCCACTGTGGTTGGCAGTATGTCCAGAACTATGGAATTTACCAGAAATGGGGAAGGTCCTACTACTGCAGTGAGCATAGGTCCCACTGTCTCAAGAATCCTGAATTGTGCACCTATCTTATGAAAGTTAGTCTTCCTAGTTTTCAATTCCATTCTCACGTTTTTAACTCCCATTAATTTCTTGCATACAAATCCCATGAACATGAAAGAGCCAGAAGTATATTCTTTTGTCATTTATAGATATATATACTTTCCAAGAAAGAAGCTCCCCACCCCCCACCCATTTCTGGTTTTGGAAAGTTCCCAGATAAGACTTGTCTTCATTCTCACAACTGCTCTATTTTTTTCATAGTGCTTATCACCTTCTAACTTCCCATGTAATTTACTTATTTATTATGTTTATTGTCTCATTTTCTTTCTCTAGAGTGTAAGCACAATGAAGACAGGGATTTTTGTATGTTTTTAAATCAACGGAATGTACTCCCAGCACCTAAAATAGTGCCTGGCACATTAAGGGCTCAGTAAATACTTTGTTGAATAAACTTGCTTTCCTACCTTAGGGTATTCATGGTTTGATTCATTTCCTCCATCTCTGGCAAAAAAAGGGACTGCTGGAAGTTTTTATATACCTCTCTCTCTCTCATTGACTTACAGATTGAGGCTAAGAGTATTAGGAAGTTTTGGTCATAGTGTCGTTCCGTATCTGTTTCCCTATTGGAATAGGTCTTTGACAACTAGGAATCTAAAAACAGAGCAACGAAAAATTCTGCCCTTCAGCAGCTTGGGACTCCAGGAGGAACCTCAGAACAGCTTCAGATAGGACAGAGTACATCCCTCCTTTGGAATAATTTTGAAACACTTTAGTAAGAGAGAAAGAAAGAACATTGTTCACCAGGAATTTTATATGCCATTAAATTGTAATCAGGTTTTTCCCATGGTTCCTGATGTCATGAGGGTGTTCGTGACAAGATTCTGAAGGAATATCGTATCATTCCAATAGTATGTCTTGTATCTTTCATTTGAGACATTATTTCGACTTGCCCAAAGCTCTGCCTTCTTGGGCCTTGCTTATTCCTTTCAGACAAAAGTCCTATAAGCTAATAAACTAATAAACTAAATAACAAATCAATTTTTAATGCACTGATTTTTCTCAGGGTTGACTCTGAGCCCTGGAAGGTTGAACCTAGAAAATAAAACTGTAATAGTGTCTGCTTTTTGCTCTTCTCTTTGACAGCCCACTTAGGGGAGGACTCAGCCCCGACAAAGAAACATTATTTGGCAAATAATCTGATCAATTTTCTTTCTATTCCTGGCAATGAAATGTTAAGAGGCCACCTCAGTGTTACGTCACCTAAAAAGTGCAGAGTCCTTGGCAGGAGATTCAATTTTGAACCAAAGATCCAATTTCATGGAAATAAAAAGTCTTACCTAAGTGCATTAAATAGATCTTTAGTAGAGTAGTTAATACCAATTAAATGCTGGGCTGTCTGTATCATGAATTACCCATTCAGACATGATTTTGTTTTTCTCCTTTAAATAACTCAGGTTTTTTTCGAGGCTGGGTCATCCTCATTTCTTTCGGCCATTCAATCCCGAAATTTCCTGTGTTTCAGAGACCAATGATGGGAAATGCCATGCTGGGTCAGCAGCTTGTATTAAAGAGGAATTTGGACATGTCAGGTACTTTCATATTTGATTAACTACAAGGACTAGCCCAAAGGATGTTCTTGGTCATGTTATTTTAAGTAAAAAGAATACAAGATTGACCTAGCTTCAGTCTTGAATCCTTTGAACAACACAAAAAGAATACTGCTGGTCAATGAGGTGCGTTTTAGAGACTTGTCAAAACAGTAGACAGAAATAGTTTTTCTCAAAACAAAGCTGGTTATAGTTGAGCTCTTTTGGGTCATATATGCTGGTTTGTATTCAAGAACCAATCTACTCTCAGACCCACTCCACTCCCATCTGAATGTGATTTTTTAAGTATGTTTCTGTTTCTCCACGTTGATAGGTTAGGTCCTCAGAGAGGCTGCGTTTACTAAGGCCTGTCTTTACCCTTGCAAGCCCGGGGTCAGAGGTCAAGGATTCTCCACAGAGAACAACTGGTAAAATGACACCCCCGCGCCCAAGAATACCTCTATGCCAGGCCTGTGCTTCGGGCTGTCACGGGTTTATTCTCTGCAGCTGCTGTGACACAGCTCTTCTCTCCACACGAGGACATGTTCTCAGAACAGTGAGGTGGCTCGTCTGAGATGACAGGGTAATGGAGCAGCACCCAGGATTTGACTTGGGACTTGCAGGCTCCTCAGTGACTGTGGTCTTTGGTGGTCTCCGCTTCCTGTGGAGGAAAGGCCAGACAGAAGAGTAGGATTAAGTGGATTTGAGAGAAGGGGAGATTAATGCTTAGATTTTTACATAATGTTTTGGTTATCCACAGGGGTCTCCTGCCCAGCCTTCTAAAGGAATGTCAGTTATTCAATGTAAAGGACAGGAGCAGAAATTCCTTGCCTGGCAATGGGATATTTTCCTCCTGCCTCTCAGGATTTGGAGGAACTTCGGGTCTGTGTCCAACATTGGCCTGTCAGGCTCAGGCTAGACAGGAGCAGGGCGGGGCCACCGGAAGGGAAAACAGATTGGATTTCCTGGGCACCATTTGGAGGCCTCCCAGCAGACCACGGTGCCTCATCGGGATGTCTGGGCAGTTTGCAAAGTGCTACCGCCTCTTGTCCCTGCTTTGATGCACTCTGGGGGAGGAAAGCAGATTTTTCTTTTTGATGCTCCTACCTTCCCAATTTGGGGTTGAGGGCGGGCTGAGATGTCAGCGTAGTTCTGTTACTGATAATTCTCCATCTGATTAAGTAGAAACTAAGGGAGAAGGGGCGCCTCTGGCTCGTTGGTTAAGCATCTTTGGGCTCAGGTCATGATCGCAGTGTCCTGGAATTGAGCCCTGCATCGGGCTCCCTGCTCAGTGGGGATCCTGCTGCTTCCCCTCCTAGTCCCCCTGCTTGTGTTCCCTCGCTGGCTATTTCTCTCTGTCAAATAAATGAAATCTTAAAAAAAAAAAAGAAACTGAGGGAGAAGACCAAAAAGACCTTGGCATCTTCAGCAATACTTTCATCACCTCTGAGTGACATTGAGTGGGGATTTAGAAACATTTTTTTTAATTCTCAAAGGCACTTGGGCAGTTTCTGCCTAATCTTTTTAAGGTGGCTTGTAGGAGGCTGTCATTTTAATTTCTTTAACACCGCTCTTTTGCTTACTTAAATGTTCTGAGTGACGAAAAAGCACCAGATTTCTTTCTTGAATCCTGTTTGTTTGACCTTTGATAAACTTCGCACTTAGAAAAAAGTCAGCTTTTTTTTGGAAGTGGTTGCTGCTCATGCTCCCGAGTACTGAGATTTTTCAGCAAATTTACAAAGACCATTTTGTGATTTTTTTTTTAAAGCTAGAGAAGGAGCTCAGAGAGTGGCCATTGGGTTTTATCGTCATGATTTCTCGTCGCAGATTTAAGAGCAGTTATGGAATGAAAATTCATAATTTTAGGAGTGGATAAACACTGGGTCATTAAAAATTAATTTAACAAGTAGTCTGTTTTGTGCCTTTTTTTTTTTTTTTTTTGAGGGAAAACAGCATCACCCTTATGACAGATGCCTGGCTGGTCTAGAGGCAGAAGGTGACTTGGGACGGAGAAATGGAAGGAGCATTTTATGGATCATTTGTGAGGTTCAAGGGAAATGGGAGTTAAAAGGGAATAGGAGCCGGGTGTGGTCAGCCCCTTGCTACGGGAGCTTTGGGAGTAGCCCAAATTCCTGTCAGGTGTCCCATAAGCTGTGGGTGGTGGTGGGGAGGTGGGCAGCTGTTCCCTGTGTCCAAGGGCTGGGCCAGGATGAAGGAAGTGGTAGCAAGCAGCTGGGGAAGGCTTAAGCACTTGCCAACTTTTGAATCTTGAAAAATTCACTGGGGACAAGGTTACCTGCCATAAAAATGCTGGTAAGTAGGAATTCCCCAAGAACATTTTCCATAGACCTTTTATTTTTTTTCTGAAAAGATAATTAAGGCACATGGCAGTGCAGCGGGGGAAGGGAAGGGGTTAAAGCAACTGATTTGAAAAAAGTATAGAGGGGGAAAAAAATCTATCTCAGCCTGAGAAACATCCATTGGCCTGTTTCTTGGGTACCCCCTTGAGGGTTCCTGGCCTGTCCTGGAGTGTCAGCACCTCCAGAAGGGCCCTCCTCCGGCAGAGTTGGCACGTTCCCGTGGTCATTTCCTCCTATTTTTATGCTTATTCATCCTGTGGCCTGTGTTCTCTTTGACATGCCTATTTTTTTTTCCCACCCTCCTGCGGGGAGAGATAACATTCTCCGGACTTAATTCTCATCTGATAAGTTTTATTTTTAACCAACCTCTACATCCTTTCTTCTTTGCTTCTTATTTTCCTGAGCCCACGTGGGCCTTGGCCTTCCCCAGCTTTCTCAGAAGGTGTGAGCACATCTGGTGACAACGGACGGTACTGGGCTGGCGGGTGTCCCCATCTTGGAGCAGGCGCTCAGGGTGCTGGGAACCTGGCTTAGCTTCCAAGGGGAAGGGAAACTTTCTTCTCTGCACACGTTCTTGTTTTTAACTGGGCAATTCACTCTTAACCTCCTGCTTCCCTTCTGGGCTGTCTGTAAGTTTCCTTTGTCAGTACATTTCTGTTATCTTGATGAAGGAAACACGCTTTAAAACAAAACAAGACAGCTGTGACTTGCCGTGATTAGCATGGACTGTCTTCCTGGCAGCCACTTAAGGCTCCTACCGTGTGACAAAGCCATGACTGGACATGATGTTTCTTGGATTGAGATGAATGAAAGCAGCCAGTGTCCACCCAACCGAAGGGAGAAGTTTCTCTTCTGGTTGGCTTTGTTGGCTACTTGACCTCTGACTGAGGCTTTC